TCTTACATGGTAAGACCGATGCAGAAGAGGGTTTCTGCTGTGAATTCCAGCCTGAGCAGCTCCTTCTTGGAATCGCTTCTGAAAATGAATTTACAGCTTCAAGACTACACCTGCACAGGAGATGCCTGTGGCAGTCAGTAGGGAATGTGGCTAATTAAATAGGAACAGATTTGCAAAGATTACTTCATCCAAGAAGCGAAAGCTAATAATTATATGGAACAAGATGATTACCTGGAACAAGATGATAAAACTGCTAATGTTCCTGTTTATAATATGACTCTGAAGCTTCTCTGTTAAAGCTGGGCTGCAACACATTACAGTTTATTGCCTAATACTACAAGAAATAATGCTGCCTGTATTCTGTCAAAATCGTGCTTTTCTTCCAAATAAAATTCCACCTGGAACTGACCCATCCAAGTAACTCCCACGCTTTCTGTGGTTTATCCTCACCTGGGAGGAAGGAAGGGTTAAGAGGGGAGAACTCTGGGTTTGCCTTATACACAAAATATATCTGGGAACTTCAGTAGATGGTGAAGGATTGGTCCCTTCTTTACAGGAAGGAAACTTCCCCCACATTTCTATAAGATGGCAAGTAGCATTCAGTGGGGTAGGAGTGTGATCCTGTGCCTCCTCTTTTGTGTGATGAAAACATGCTGATGCAGTGGCCACAGCTATCCCTCTCCTGGGCTTTGTTTTAAAAGGAGAGCTCTGCCCCTGTGTGTGCATGGTCAAAGCTCCCAGAGACCTTTTGATCTTTTGTCCACCGTCAGCCGGGAGCTGTGACTGCAGGGTGTGCCCAGCCCATGCATCCAGCCATTACACCAGCAAACACAGCACTTAAAATGTTGTATTCCACCTCTCATTGCTGAGCTAACTCCTCTGACCTCTCTGTGGCAGAGTCCCAAGCTCTGTGCTGGCCCCACTCTGCTCTCCACCCCGCCTCTATGCCTTTTTATTTATATTCACTTTATTCACCTTTCTGTATTTCCTTTAGAAAGAGTAAATATCAGCTCATGAGGTGTCAATGTGTAGTACCATATGTACAGCTTGTACAAGCGCTAACTCAACCCCAGTACTCTGTATTTTGCAGGTGACCCTCTGCAGAACATTAAATTACTGCTTGTCTCAAAACCAATTCTTCCTCCTGCTATACGGTCTCCCACATCTTCCCTGAAGCCATTTATAATGACCTCTGCAGGTTGGTTTCAAAACTCTGAAAGCATCTTGGCATCTGCCAGCCTAAGTGGCCTTGATGCTGTAGCTCCACATCCATGTGAACTTCCTCCGAAATGAATCTTGACAGCGGGGATTCAGCATCACTGGGATTTCGATGCACCACTTATTTCTTAATTCTTTCAATTTCCATGAGACATTTCACATCCTGAGAGCTAAGTATGACTTAAAAAGGCATCTTGGATCAGGACATAAGGCTTTACCTGAGACAGTATCTCAGATTCAGGACCTGCATTTCTACATGGCCTTTAGCATTCCTGAGTCAGATCTCCCACAGACAGGGATCCTGGAGTCACTGCGTTTATAGGGCTGAGCAGCCTATTTCAAGTTAAAAAACCTCGATAAATTATGGCCCTGTTTCAGTTGCTGATTGTTTTTAACCATTTGTGCAATACCTCAAGCCAGCTGGCAGGATTAATAGGTTAACAATGCTGTATTAATTAATATCATAAAATTGCTTTGAAGGAGGGAAGAGCTAATTAAGTATGAAACACTAATACTCCAACCAAGGGAGAACCCACGGGAAAAAGTCTACAGTGTAATTAAGAAAGAATACATTTTTCTTCCTGCCCTACAGTCTCCCCATTGTAACAGTCACTAATGACTTTTGCTTGGCTTTCTGCACGGTTTTCTGCTCTCCATCAACCCATGCCATGCATAAAAATACCCAGAGGTAATATGTATTATTTTTTCTTTCTCGACATTTTCTTCTGGTGATGCCCTCAATGTAAGCTGTGAACTCTCCTGTTCCCTTTCCTACTGTGAAATACTCATGAAGCAACTTCTTTCTTACATAGGAACAGCCATGCTGGTTAAGATCCACCCTCCAGCTGCTGGTAACACAGGCACAGCAGGAGAACAGGGCATGCTGCAGCAACTCTTTCTATTCCATACTTTCGCTTCCTACTGTACATCCCACATTTTTCCTGTGAGCATCAGATGACTCATTGATTTATTGCAGCCCTTTTTTTGTTTTATCTCATTGGCAGTCAGTCTGCTTCCAAACACACTGCATTTTATTCGTTTGCTGTTCTCGAGTAACAATCCTCAAGAAACAAACAAACAAATGGCAAATTATAGTCAATTAAGGGGTGGAAAAAGTTAACAAATCTGTGCTTGCTTCTGTAAAATTCCAGCTGCCCTTAGATGGGGTCTAAAATGAAAGCTTACTGCCCTCCTTTTTGTGTTTGGACATCAATCACCTGCGCAGCAAAAGGTAGTGAAGGTGCCCCTGAGTGAGGAGCTGGGGAAGGGCACAAGGAGAATTGTCAAAATAAACATCACATCATGTGAAAATAGCTACCTTCTCGCTGTAACAATATCTCCATGCTACAGCTTGGGCTGAGTTAACATGCATCCAGGAAGCAAGTGTTTATACATGTCTAAACCAGAATTTACAAACACACAATAGCAGCTTCAGTGAACTAGCCATCAAAAACTGAAACCTTTGTCCAGATGAAAATGCTTGAACTACACCAGTATCATTGGAAGAGTAGAAGAAACAAATGAATAGCAACCAGATGTAACACTGAAGCATTTCTACAACATACAGCTTATTTCCCGGTAAGAAGTGTTTTCATGCATCTGCAGTGGTGATTATGCCTAATTATTCAGTTTAAGGAAAAAATAATAATCAATTAAATTTATTATTTAAAAACCCAGGACTCTATCTTATGCAGTCCTTGGAAGTTATTACACATCCTATCCTTCCCAATGGAAAGCAGTGGGTACAACCCAACACCTGAGTCAGGAGGATCAAGTCTGAGTCCAACATGGAAAATAGCGCTGTGTGATATTGCCAGGAGAGCATTGTGTCATTACAGAGTCTGTCCTTCAAAGGAGAGGTTAAATCAAGCTCCCTAATCTCTGGATGAATAATCTCATTATTTTCCTGAGAAAGCATCTCACTGAGCAAATATAGTTGAGTCTTGCCCAGACACGTTTTCTATAGGTGGGAATTGATAATACGTGGATGAGGGCGTGGAATGGCCCTTCTTGATGAAGACTCTCCACATTAATTATTACACATCTCATACACGACAAAAAGTGTTGATGGAATTGGTTTAGACATACTTTTCAGTTAGAACAAACCCCGTGTCACAGCAGCTCGGCTAACGTTAGTTTTCATGTTGGTGGTTGTCTGGTATGATGCAATGGAAAATTGCTTATAAAATTCTGATGCACTCTCAGCTCCCTGTGAACTGTATCTGCAGGCAGGAGGGTGTCACATAAATAGAGCAGCTCCCCAGGTCTTGCCACAGACACCTTCCTGAGACAGGAGGAGGAGAAGACTAAGATCACCATTGTGAGAGATGGTTCTTCTCACAAAAGGGGGTTTTACTCTGAGGGCTTTGCATCTTTATTTTGTTTACCTAGAGCTGAGTTTCCTTCATCACCTTCTATTATTCTGTTTCATCCACACGGGCCAAATTTACCTGCCAGCTTTACAGCGATCCCTGTGATCCCTGCTGCTGGGCTAACACTACATGTGATGAAAGGTTCCTTCCGCTTCCAAGAAGCTCCAACATCTTTATTATGTGTCTCACGCTTTGAAATCTGACAGGAAGAAAGTGATCAGCACAGAAAAGTACCTTGGTTTTCTTCTGTGAATTTCTCTTCAGGTATTGCCACAATAGAAATGATTGAAAACTTACTATTTCCTTGCTCCTGGAGGAATTGCTGAAACATAAAATATTGGCAGCACATCAGAATTGTAGCTGATTACAAATATTCTAAGGAGAAGGATTCACGTACCACCAACACAGCTGTGAGAACCGATATGTCACTGACAGTGCTTGGAAACTGCCAGAACAGATGGAGCAGCAGGGCTGGGAAGGAAGAGTGAGTCCAAGCTTCTCCAGCCATCACCTGGTGGTGTTTCCTGCCTGGAAGATACACGGGATCCTCCAAGCTATTTCCTCCACAGTCCTCTCCCCATGTTATTCCTTACCATGTCCCATGGGTGAACTGGAGTAGTAGTGGAATAGTTTCCTGCCTGATACTAGGTCCTTACCCCTTTTTAGAGAATCTTGCCTATTCTGTGGGTCAAAAAAATCCCCAAACCACTTCCAGTTCAGACCCAAGCTTCTCACTCATTTTACTCTGGGCTGACTGCTTGTTGCCTGAGGAAATAGCATTGGGATCTGGCATTTACCTCCTATCTTGGCCCTCAGCCGAAATGGCAGGTCATCCACAGCAGCCTCAGGAGAGAGCTGGAACATGTCTGGGACTGGTGCCAGCTTTCCTCCATAGGTTCAGGGAGGCAGAAGTAGACTTGTTTGTTAAAGTAACTGAAGGTGGAGCTGAGGGTCCCCTCCAGTGGGCTGAATATGCATTCATGCAAGATGAGTTTCCAGGGCTCACTGGGAGGTTTGCTGCCTTGACGACACACAGCTCACGAAGCATCACCCTGCTGTCATGCAGGAGGAAGGTAGCTCTTGGAAATACCTTGAGGCAGCAATACAAACATCGACTCTTTGACAAATCCTTTTGTGATATTTCCACACAATGCCATTGTTATCAGGTACCATCGCCAGTAAATTCATTTACTGGAGCCTTTCCAAAGTGGAAATACAAAGTGGGTAGAAATCCATTCAAAGAAGAGCTAACCAGTGGGATAGCAGAGTTCATCTGGACTTTTGGTGGTGGAAATGAAGTAGAGCCTGCACTCAGCCATGAGTAATACCAAAATCATTGCTCACTTTTTCTTCCCCACCCACCTCCTGGGCTTCTCCAGCTTGTCAGGTTTAGTGCAGTTGCACACTTAACAGCTATGCCTGGAGCATCTTCATTTAAACATTCCAACCAGGAAATGTTTATGCAAAAACTTCTTGCAATATTCACCCAATTCTAGGGCTGCTCTTCTATATTAATTGCAAGGGAAGAAAAACAGGTAGAAAAGCATATGCTGTGTGTAACATTCAATACAGCTTTTAAAATGGGGGGGTTGAGCCTAAGGAAGCAAGTGACATCTTCTGCTTCTCTGACATCTTGGCAGGATCTGCATGATTCAAGTCTGAGTGTATGGCCAAAATACAATGCAGACTTGTGAGCCAAGGGGAACATCCCCAACTTACTGGCACAAAGCACCTTTTCCCTGCAGACACTCTCCACTGCTTCATCATTTGGCTCTTTATTTTTAACAGCTTCCAAAACCTGATCAAATGTATATTGTTGCAAACAATTTGGATGTACATTTTCAAGGCCTTATGACCATGAAGTCACGCTTGTGTGTGTCATTCTTTCCATTGGGGATGAGCCTGAGGTGCTGAGTTCATTTCTGAATCCAGATGGGTATTTGGAGCCTGATTTTTCATCTGGGCACATGATCAGATGCATTTCTTGGCTAAACTCATATCAGGGCCTATAATTTTTTTGAGTATTCAGCAGAAAAGTACAGTCAGCTTTATGTGACTACTGAATGGGATGATCAGTATTTCTTTCCATGCAGAGGACAAAATAATGTGGAACCTAGTAAGTGAACATAAAAAGTGGAATCCCCATAATCTTCTGAAATTTGTAGTCTGCTATATATCTGTCTGGGTTCAGCATCTTTTCACACTGTCTTGTTGTTAGCCTGAGAAAGAAAAGAAAGAGAAAGCATTGTCTAGATTACATACCTAGATCCCATTAACTGTTCAGGGGAAAATACACATCGGGCGCAGATAGAAAGATTTGGGTGGCAACCTTTTATGTATTTGCACAGTGTCCTGCAGGATAATTCAGAAGAGCTATAGAGCTATAGAGCTTGTCCTTGACTCAAAAGTTGCAGTTCCTGAAAGCAGGAGGATGAATGCATGTGGTATTTTCTACGTATGCTGTATAGATGCCAGCTAAGGTCCCTTCACCCTCAGCTTCAAGATTTTTTGCTTGCTGCAGAGTGCTAGGCTCAGCTGCTGTCCAGATTAGCATTATATCTGGTTAAGAGCTAGCTAGGGACCCAGAATAGGTACATGGGGGTTTTATGTACACCACCAGGCTTCCAGGGAACATGGAAACATGCATCTGTAAAATGGGCATCATAATCCTCACTCATCTCCAGTGTAGGAAGCTTAATTAGCAATTTTAAATCATCTTGAGCTCCTGAGAGGGATGGTGCATATGTTACTAGAGTGAGTAATTTGGCACAATTGTTTTATCACACCTACAACTTTATTATGATGTAGATGTGCTAGGGCATATAGAGCAGTGTGTGTCCCAAATGCTGTGGAGACAAATGGCTCTGGAATAGCCCAAAGGCCTCTAGCAGAAGCTAGGGATGCACCTACTGCACACAGGCTTTATTATAGCACACACTGGTATATCAGCAGCCCACAACTTTTCAGCCCTATAGACAAAGGCATCCACAGCCACCAGCTTTCTGGAAGCAGAGATACACCTACATTCCAAAACCTTTTGGGAACCCTGAAGGGTATAGTCACAGCCACAACTTACTGGCAACGCACAAAAGATACGTCTATAGTATGCAGACTTTCTGGCAACACAGCTGCATCCCCAGAGCCTGGTTTCCTACGAGCAGTGATACACCACATCCCTTAAGGCAGAGAGATGATACAGAAACACCTCACACTGCAAAGGGAGATGCCTTTGAAAAAGAAAAAGGCTTTTCATTTATTTTTTTGAATACACTGGATAACAGGGGCTGTAATTGTTACTTACATGCCAACAATGTCAAAAGCTATCTCTGCGTGAAGTGAAAGCTCATTGTTAATAAAATACAACCAAACTGAATAGCCTACATTCTGCTGAGCTGTACAAACCATGAGAGCTCTGAGCTCTCGTGGTTTATGTTTCCACCAAGAACCTGTAATAATGAAAACACTGACCTAGCAATCAGCATTTTGAGTGCAGGCCCTGACACTGCTCAGTTGGACGCAGTTTCTTTCTCTAGAAGACAGCATGCAATGCAATTAATCTAGTTAGTGGTACATGGCATAGCCGCTCATCCACATGAACAGAACAGCCAGCGTTTGAGTATTTCCTTATTTCTGAGTGCTTGTCTGTTAAAGCTTATGATGTTCTTTGACACAAGGAAGACAAAAAGTAAGGGAGGAGTTACTAAATATTATACAGTGGATCCAGATATGTTGTTAATTAGGATTATAGCTAGATTAAAATACTCTGGGATTTACTTTAATCTCCACAAGGGGCTAGGTCTCTTTGGAAATGCTATAGCCAATCTATTGGGGATCACGTAGACCCATAGCTTTTCTCATGGTGATTGTCCTCACGTTACACTCAAGAGCTATGCAAAATGGAAATCTGGATTTCCAGCTGTTTTGCTGGCTGCAGCTGAGTGACGTGCTGAGAATGTAAAGGAGTTTTCTGTTACCTTGTGGCTTCTGCTCTCAGCTGGGAGAGCAGCCAGGAGGGCTTGCAGGTTCGTGGCTGCTAGACTGCAGTTTGTCTCCTGGCTCGGTCCAGAGCAGCCATGCCCAGCACCATGTCCTTCAGGGATTCCAAGAATGAAGAGAACGGGACATCTCTACCACTTTCACACCACCAAAGGAGGGGAGTGTAACCAGCACTCTCTGTGCAGAAGAGATAATGATCAGAAGTCATTACTGACAGCTTGCCAAGCAATAAATCAAAGTCACTTAAATTTTGTCCACCATGCAGCAATAAAAGACCTCCATTACCCTGTAGGATGTGACTGCAGAAGGGCTCTGGAGAAATCCAGGTTAGGATTTGGAGTTGCTTGTTCAGGCTTGTCTTCACCAGACACAACTCACCAAGAGTGATTTTGCCTTCTCTCTAGCTCATTGCTATAGCCCAGTGGTCGACTAGCTGCATTGCACGTTAGTGACAAGACACTTTAGTAGGAAATCTGATGGCCCTTAGGTGTGAGACTGTTAAGAGATGTAGTGGACTTGCAGTAGATGCAGATTTTTTTTGCAGCTGAAGCTCATTCACCTTCTGTGGGATGAAAGGCAAGAAAAAAGCCCCATGGAGCCTCCAGCATTTGAGATGAAGAATTGTTAAGACCTGTGTGGTTATGAGTGAAAGCTGCTGCTTCCCTCAAGAGCCTGTACAGACATATATGGCTGTAACCATGAGATAAGCCTGTTCTAATTATATTTGAAAGGTCTGGAAAATAGGACTTGGCACAGCTGCTTCCAGCACTGTAGCTCGTGTGAGAGATTCTACACAAAGATGAAAATGAAGGTGGATGAAAGGAGACTGCCAAGTGTACTGATGCACTTACATCCCAACACCCTCTCCTTGGCCTTCACTGAGCTCTCTGCTGCATGGTGGTTTTGTGGGGGCACTGACAGCACTTGTCATGTTCTAGTGGAGCTGGTGGACTGTACTGTTCCACTGTATGATAAAATGCCATCATCAACAATGTCTACAAGAAAGGAAATATAGTCTGTATCTTTATGGAAAGCTTGTAAGTTGCCAGCACAGCTTGTACCTAATAGCAGTGAGAACCAAAATTTGTAATAACAATCAAAAAGTAAGTCTTAAGGCTGGTATCTTGGACAGGAAATTGAAAATGAAATATTTCCAGTTTGTTGGGTTATGCCTAACTACAGTATGTCTTGCAAGGCTATGTCAGGCTCCGTTCCTACTTCAAAGTTTACTTTGATCTTCCTTTATTTACATTAGCCTTTGCCACAGTATTCACAAAGAGTTTTCAATGACTGCTCCAAGTCATGTATTACACCCTGCTAAGCCAAGTTTTAAGTCAGTCTTATGGTGGTGTACACTATATGAAATAACAATCATACCCCCAGCAGTATGAAGTATTACCCTTACACCTTTAATACACACACATCAGAATGTATACAACCTCAGCCGTAGTTCCATATAATTAGGGACAGTTTCTAACTGAAAGTTCTCTGAAAGTTGCCTTACAGATCCAAACCTTGTACTTAATATGCTTTTCCACAGAGCGTGCTCCATCAGAATGGTACATAATGAGCAAACTCATAAGCTGCTTTACCCAAGACAGGTGCATAAACAAATGCACCAGGACAACCAGCCAAGTAAGGATCATGCTTATCACCAAGTACAGTGGCAGAAATGACTCTACAGCCTGTCTATATTTGTCAGGGAAGCACATAATGTGCAGGGGTTTTACCTTTTTTGCATAGGTGTAAGGAACCCAAATGTTTGAGGGCAACAGAGAATCAACCTCTAAACGCAAGTCTCTTTTTGCATCTCTTGGCCCTCCCTTGCCTGATGGCATGGGCCATGGCAAGCAGGATGGTGGCTGGTTTGCTCATTCCCATGGAAATCACAAAACGTGTCTTCTCCATGTTTCTAAAGAACCCAAGGACAAGGCAGGAAGTTTCAAAGTGTTAGCCCTTCATCATTTCATTACTTACAGTCAGATCTGTTTAGGAAGTATCGTAATAATAACAACATTCTAACAAGTGTCATGATAAATTAGGTAGCATTTTGCAATGCAAAATCCTGTGTCTTTTTTCCCTCCCATTGGCTTAGGCTAGGTTGTTGAAAGGGTGATGTAATGGAGAGACTAGTGAGAGGATCAAAGCTTTAGATCATGGGTTTCATTTTCATTAAGGCCTTCTTAGACTCCAGTAGAGCAAGGGAATCCCAAACCAAGCAGGTATACCAGCAGTGACAGACAGTGAGAGGACTATGAATGACTTTGAATGCAGATTTTATTCTGTAATTTACACTTGTCAGAAGGCTACAGTATCATTCACGTAGGGTGTGGAGTACGAGTATTCCACCACATTTTCCAGGAACCAGAGAGTTGGAACAGAAGACATTACACAAACACCAAGCTTTTTGTTCCCACTAAGAATCCAAGTAGTGTTCCAGACTCGAATGTCCTTAGGAAAACACAGAATTTGTTTGACTAAAAACTGTCAGCCACCCGGAAGGGTAAAGGGAAGAAAGCTAGCCTCATGCTCTGCAACGCGTGGCATAAAATGTCTAGGAAAATATAGTATTTTCCATAATGACATTTTAAAAAGTGTTGTATTATTATCATCAGCATTTGTCATAATAACTCTAAGTGATTCATATAGTAGGGGGTTTAAAAACAAAAATGTCACATTAATTGCTGCAAAATGACCAAGCAGTAATAAATCAATAATCAGAAGCAATGGCAAAATATTTGGATGGTTGTATTTAAAAGCAGACCCAGAATTACTGCTCTGTGAGCTGCTGATATTTAAGTTGATTGTGTTGTTTAAATGCTAATGTAGTGTGTGTAAATTGTAAAAGGAAGGGACAGACAATCAGAAATCCAGGAATTTAGATGTGACATTTGACTCAGTTCATTTTCTATGATTCTCTTGAACTTTCTGTGTCCTAGTTTCTCTATCTTTCAATCTGAGAAAATAATGTATTCTTATGGTGAGATCACCATATACAATTTTATTCATAAATACAAACCATTCTAATTTTACATATAGAAAATAAAGTCAGTATTTTAAGTGAATGTTGACAAGTAGATTTTAACCTTTCCTCTTTCACAGCATCACTAGCACAGGCCTGGGAGCAATGCTGACTACAAACGTAAGTCCCACCCTTTCTGCTTTCATCATATGCCTTTGTGGATTGCATGCAGTTTGGCAATTACATTGAAGAGGTATAAAACTGTGCTAGCAGAAGAGTTGTAGGACTGGAGATGTTCCAAACTGGAGGCAAAGGGGAGCTGGACACATTCCTCTTGTTGCCACTGAAACCACTCATCTTGAGCAGTAAAGGAAATAAACAAGTGGAGAGATGCAGCTGATGCTGTATATTAGAAGTCTGTGCCTGATGTGTTGCTCTGGGTTGACTGGTTACAAAGTCAGCAGAGCAGCTGGAAAAAGAGACTGGAGGAGGTACTGTCTGTGGGAAAGGAGACTGCAAAGCCTGTGGAGCACAGACACACAAATTAAAGATAGGATGTGCTCCTCAAGCTCAGATGGGAACGGAAACACTTCCAGACTTCGGGATATTTGAATTCCAGATTTGGGTGCTTCCCATTACCAAATACCGGGCATTTGTTCACAGGATCCAAATCCAAACTCCATCATGCTCATAACAGCATGAATGAAATACTTTTTATACTTAAAGGACTAATCTGCAGTAGCTATAAATCTTTGTAGGTCCATTGATCTCACTGAGACTCTGACCTAAAAGTTTCAATGTTCTCTGTATTTTCCCTAAACTTTTCTTCAGGAAACATTAACAGCATTATCAGTCATGGCCTGGAAATGTCAGAAATGGTTCATTAAACCTCACACTGCTGAAAATTTAATTTTAGAGGGACATGAGTGGAAAAAAATGTAATGACCAGATCTTTTTGCTCAAGAGTGTTTTATAACCCAGAAGAGGCAGTTAATCTCTTTTCCAATATACTTTTTTCCTAGAGTTTTTATTGAATTGAATGAAATTGTGTAGCTCCTGCTTGTATGATTTTTTCCTCTTCACGTCAGGTCACCATCCTGGGTTGCTGTGACCAACAGAGCATCTTACGAAGCAGTATTAATCTGCAGGGCTTTTCTATAGTAGGATCAAAGCTTTGCTGTCCTGGGATGAAATCATCTGGGATGCACAACTGTAAAGCAACACCAATGATGTTTTAAGAGGAGTATAAGACAGAAACCCTGGTGAAATGCTGGCCAATTTGGGTATCCCCAGATTCAGAGTAAACTTCAAATGGGGAGAGGTTTAGTCAGAGCAAATACAAAGCTAAGATTCTTGAGCAACAAACTTAAAAGTTTCAAGGACCTGTGTCAATGAAATGGCCAGCACCATCTTGTGGCATTATTGTTAATTCAGCCAGTTTTTTTTTCTACTGTGGAAACTATAACCCTTGTGGTTTTCTTCCCTGGAGAGAGATGATCAGAGATTTCCCATTATAAAGCAAGAGTACAGCTACAAATCTGCTGACAAAATGAAAGCTTTGGATTAGCAGCATCACTAAACCTAGGACGTGGTCCACACATTCAGATGGGAACACAAACATTTCAACAGTTGTCATTATTGCTTGAAAAGTACTTAAAAGGTAAAATTAAAGAGTGTTTATAAAATGCTGTTAGGCAGGAACTAGATGAAGTAACATTTAGTTACATACCCATATAATATACATATAACTAAGCATATACCTAAAGCTTGCTGGGGCAGAAGGTGGGAATGCCTATAGCCAGAGTGAAAACCTGCAGTGGCCTGCACTGTAGGCTTCCCGACAAGTCTGTGATCCAGGTCTTGCCTTCCCTTGTGCTGCCAGCATCCAGGAGGAGGCTGGGAATCCATCACTCCTTTAGAAATAGGCTGGGGAATAATGCTCCTTCTGATGGCCTGGCCAACATTCCTTTGTCCAAAAGACAGCATCAACTTTGTGCCAGCTATTAACTGAAACAGAGCTGCTGCCACATTTGCTTACATAGCTGATGCATTACTAGTATCTAAGCCATTGCAGCGCACTGTGCAAGATGTTCTGCATAAATATGTATATAAAGCAACATCATGCTTTCAGTTAAGTTTATAAAATATTCCCATGCAGCTTCACAGCTTCAGCCCAGAGTTAAATTGGGATGAAGAATGGCAAGGGTTATTTATGGGAAGCTTTCAACATTCTGGACTAATGACTCTTTGTCTTACTTTGTTCAAACAACAAAACCACCCAGCTAAATTGCCTTTTTCCCTCCATATCCATGTGTGAATTAAATTCCACTGCTGCTTGATTCACAGATGTGAAAGTTTTATCAAATTGAGAGGAAATTCTGGAAGCTCATCCTGTCATTGCTCACAAGCTGAAGTTTCCCTGTCTCTTCTATCCTGGTGCTTCACAGCCTACACTGTAAAAGCCTGTATTTATGAATTA